GAATTGAGAACGGAAGCAAGCCAAGGAGGGGGTAAACATTACGCCCAAGGAGAGCAGGACTGTACGTCACGTTAAGAGTGGCAGGGAGGTCAGCTCTGCGGCAGAGTGGATTGTTACCGGAGGGGTGGCAAGGCGGACCTGCTCCATGCCAGGCGGATCTCCGCCCAATGATAGCAGGGGGATCGGTGGCGGCAGAAAGCCGCACACGGGAGGCTCTGCAACCATACCCCCTCCATTGGAAGGCAATAGGACGAACCCTGATTTTATCATCAGGGTGACTTCATTATAAATGCATCTTAGAGCAAATCGGAGTTAAAATTGTTAAACACGTTTCGGGCCCAAATCTGTCACGGGAGTGACGAAGTTGAAATTGTTACAGACATGAGCCTGGGAGGCAGGCAACCACAGGCGGAGCAGCTGAAAAGGACAACGGGGGAGCCGACGGGGCCTCGTCCCCACGGCTGGCCATAGCAGATGCAAGGGTTGGCCCCTCGGATCGCCTCCTTGTCGCCGCGGCTAGAACCGATTTGCCAGCGGGGCTTCAGGTGACAGGGGCTTGCGCTAGCCTAGCCCGTCTATGGGGGAGGGAGGGGGTGCCTGATGGGCTGGAGGTGCGGAGGCTCGGTGGGAGGATGCCTGTTCGAAGTCGACTGGCTTATGGGTACCAATGCCCAGGGGGGGACCAGGAATCAAGCGCTGGTTACCCTCCTGAAACACGGTGGCTGGCAAGCCCCACCGTGAAATTACAGGAGAACCAAGCATCATCCATGATGCTTCGTCGAAGCATCTTCCCAAGAAGGGACACTGCACCATTGGGAGGAGGACTGGGATAATGAGGGGAAAACGGGAAGGGTGGAAGGAGAGAGAGGAAGGGGAAAACGGAAGGTAGGGCGGGGTAGGAAGGCAACTAGGGGATTGGGGATTGTATGCAGGACCGCCGGCATTACCGCCAGGCTGTGTCCTGGAGGTTAAACCCCCTTGTGGGGGCCTGACTTTCCTTACGAGCCTGTGGCAGTCATGCAAGGCATGCAGGTCCGTTGGCTTGTCGCCGGGCTGGTTATGTCCGGGAGGTCAAGACCTCTTGAGGGGGGCGGCCCACCAGACCATGGTCCGTTTGGCAGGGTGCCTCGCCGCAGCAGATGTGAGCGGCAGCCACAGCATCAGCCGCGCCAGGTCTGACCATGGAGGGACCTATTGTGCTGGCTCGCTGTGGCACGAGATGGGGATCAGAGTGTCTCAGGAAAAGCCCCGGAGGCATGCAACCTCTGGCACAGCAGCTGAAACGGACAACGGGGGGACCGACGGGGCCGATGGGCCGGGGGTGGCCTGGGAGGTACCAAGCGAGTGGGGGTAGGGGGGTGGGAGGGCGAGGGGACCCAACCGAAGGGGAAAATAGGGGGGACTGGCCAGGGGAGAAGGGGAGGAGGAGAGGGGGAAGAAACGAGGGGGGGGAGGAGGTGGGAGGGGGAGGAGGGACACAAGCATATAAGGGGAGGGCGAACGGGGGGAAGCCTCGGAGGGAAGGGTGGAGCAGGCTGTGGGGCAATGGGGAGGCCGCCAGCTGCTCGCACGAGCGCGTGGTGAATGCGAGCAGGACCGCCAGCCTTGCCGCCGGGCTGTGTCCTGGAGGTCGAAACCTCTTGTGGGGGCCAATTGGGAACGCTCCGAGTTTTTGTGCCTGACTGTTGCAGGCGTGCAGGACCGCCGGCCTTGTCGCCGGGCTGTGTCCTGGAGGTTAAGAACCTCGTGGGGGCGAATGACTGACTTTCCTTACGAGCCCATGGCAGGCACGCAAGGCGTGCAGGACCGCCGGCATTGTCGCGGGGCTGTGTCCTGAAGGTCAAGACCTCTTGGGGGGGGCGGCCAAATCGGACCATGGTCTGCTTGGCGGGGTGCCGCGCCACAGCAGATGTGAGTGGCAGCCACAGTAGCAGCAGCAGCAGCCGCGCCAGGTCTGACCATGGAGGGACCTATTGTGCTGGCTCGCTGTTGCACGAGATGGGTAACAGGGTGTCTCAGGAAAAGCCCTGCAGGCAGACAAACTCCGGCTTAGCTGCTGAAGCGGACAACGGGGGGAATCGACGGGGTAGATGGGCCGGGGTGGGGCCTGGGAGGAAGCAAGCGAGTGGGGGAGGGGGAAGGGAGGGCGTGGGGACCACAAAAAACGAGGGAGAGGGGGCGGGGGGGGACGCTACAATAGGGGTGACAGGGGGGGCCTACCAAACATGGCGGTGACAGGGGGGGGCCTGCTCCCGGCCCAGAATGCGAGCCTGCAATCCTTAGTATAGCATCTATGTGGATGCCCCTGAGAGGGAGGAGGGCATCTGAAAGAAACATCAACCTGGCTGATCCCGCAGCTTTTCCCTCAAATGGGTGGGCGATTGTTGCTGCATGCTGAAGCCCTGACAGTGACGCAAGGCTGTGCCCCTGGCGGGGGGCATGCAACTGCAATGCATGCCGAGCAATGACCGATTGGTGAAATCTGACCACCAAACATCCAACAGCAGATGCAGACTGGGGAGGCTTTCCTCCTCACCGCCCTCGGGGAGGTAAATCTGCTAAAGGGGTTGCCTGCGTGCCCCAAATAGCCCCTCTGGCTGTGGCCGGTGGCTGGTTTCGCCCAACTTTGGGAGGGCCATGCCTGGCCTGCCTGAGGTCGAGAGGGGTTCCCCGACTCTCTGATGCATGACGACCTGCCAGCGCAGCGTGGCGGGTCGCAGCTGCGAGATTGGGATCTGACCTGTGGTAGGCATGCAGGACCGCCGGCATTGTCGCCGGGCTGTGTCCTGGAGGTCGAAACCTCATGGTGGGCGAGTGGAGGAGGGCCTCGGGAAGGTACCGATCGAGGGGGAGGAGCGGGGAGAGGTGGTAGAAGGGGCGCAATGTCCTGGATGTCGAGACCTTCAGAGAGGAGCGAGGGGGGTAAACCTCGGGAAAACAAAGTTGGGTGGGAAGTGGGGGCAATTGGGGGGACCAGAAACTGCTCGCGCGAGCGTGTGGTGTTTGTGCGCAGGACCGCCGACATTGCCGCCGGACTGTGTCCTGGAGGTTGACACCTCTGAGATCGCTCCGAGCTTTTGTGCCTGCCTGTGGTAGGCGTGCAGGACCGCTGGCATTGTCGCCGGGCTGTGTCCTGGATGTTAAAACCTCTTGGGGGCGAGAAGAGGGGCCGGGGGGAACCAAGCGAGGGGGAGGAAACACGCAAGGGGGAGGGGGACGGAGGAAGGGGAGGAGGACCACCACAAAAAGGGTGACAGGGGGACGTGGGGGACGTGGCCAACCAACGGGGTGACAAGAAGGCTCTGCTCCCTGCCAAGCTCGCGATCTTGGGAGGACACACGTCCGCCCGTGGTAGTGGCGCCTTGTGGGCGCACCCAGAACGCAGAACGTCCGCCCGTGGTAGTGGCTGCATTGAGGGGGGGGGGGTGAAGGCTAAGGGAACAGCCCGAACAGGAGGAGCAGGAAGAGGATGAGGATCCTTGGCGGCCGCGGTGGGCAGGCTCAGGGCCCCGAAGGTGGCCTCGGGGGCGGCCTCCGCGGCCACGCCCGGGGGCGCGCGGGGCCTGGCCCGGTCGAGGAGCAGCATCACCAGGCTTGCCGACAGCGCCGCGGTGGTCTCGGCGGCGATGGCCACTTTGCCCACCTCAGGAGAAGAAAGAGACGCTTTGGCAGAAACTGTCGAGGCAAATCCTTGAGCCTTGAGCCGCATTCGAAGGGCCAAACAAAGGCGGGACCGCCAGCATTTCCGCTGGGGGTCTATACCTCTGTTGTGCGAGTGTGGAGTGGAGACAGGACCGCCTGCATTGCCGCCAGGCTGTCCCAGAGGTCGATGCCTCTGGTGTGCGAGCGTGGAATGAAGGCAGGACCGCCGGCATTGCGCCGGGCTATGTCCTGGAGGTCAGTGCCTCTGGTGTGTGAACGGTGAGTGGAAGCAGGACCGTCGGCCTAACCGCCAGGCTGTGTCCTGGAGGACGATGCCTCTATGGTGTACGACTGTGGAGTGAAGGCAGGACTGCCGGCATTGCCGCCGGGCTGTGTCCTGGAGGTCAGCACCTCTGATGTGCGATTGTGGGTGAAAGTAGGACCGCCGGCCTCGCCGCCGGGCTGTGTCCTGGAGGTCATCACCTCTGGATTCGCGCGTGGGATGGCAGCAGGACCGCCGGCATTTGCGCCGGGCTATGTCCTGGAGGTCAGTGCCTCTGGTACGCGAGTGTTGAGTTGGAGCAGGACCGCCGGCCTCGCCGCCGGGCTGTGTCCTGGAGGACGGTGCCTCTATGGTGTACGGGTGTGGAGTGAAGGCAGGACTGCCGGCATTGCCGCCGGGCTGTGTCCTGGAGGTCAGCACCTCTGATGTGCGATTGTGGGGGTGAAAAGGACCGCCGGCACTGCTGCCGGGCTGTGTCCTGGAGGTCATCACCTCTGGTGCTCGCGCGTGGGATGGCGGCAGGACCGCCGGCATTTGCGCTGGGCTTTGTCCCGGAGGTCAGTGCCTCAGGTGTGCGAATGGTGAGAGTAAGCAGGACCGCTGGCCTTGCCGCCGGGCTGTGTCCTGGAGGCTAGCACCCGTGCTGGCCTCTTGCCACTGTCGCCCCGCTACTCACTCCCCCAGGGGCTCGGCTGGGGTGCTCGTCGGGTGTGGCAAAACCACACCCTTAGTGGCGCCCCGTGCGTCCCCATTCGATTCCCCCAGATGAGTCTGGAGCAGCATTGGCACGGGGTGCGGAGGGCGGAGGAGGGAGGAGGGAGGAAGGAGGAGGGAGGAGGGAGGGAGGGAGGGAGGGAGGGAGCCAGGAGGCAGGAGGAGGAGGAGGAGGAGAGGAGGAGGAGGAGGAGGAGGAGGAGGAGTAAAGATGAGAATGAGGAGGAAGGAGGTGGTGGATGGTGGAGGAGGAGGAGGAGGAGGAGGAGAAGGAGGAGGAAGAGGAGAAGGAGGAGGAGGAGAAGGAGGAGGAGGAGGAGGAGGACGAGGATGGGCATGGGCCCTCCCTCCCCCTCCCGAGGAGCTCACGACGGCTGTCGGGTGCGTCGGCGTGAAGGCCTTCGTCGCGGGCCTGCCCGCAACCCTGGGCGTCAGGCACAGCGCCGCGCTGGCCCGCTTCCTGCCGCGGCTGAAGGCCCGCCCCGCCCCCCCCTGGGATCGCGACGGATGCCTTCACGCCGACGCACCCGACGGCCGTCGTGAGCTCCTTGGGAAGGGGTGAGGTCCCACGAGCGTTCGCCTTCCCCTCCCCCTCCCCCTCCTCCTGTCCCTCTTCCCTGCTCCTCCCTGGGAGGGTGGGGGGCCCAGACCTCCTCGGGCCTTGGAGGTCGCTGGGGGGGCAGCATTTGTTTCCAGGGCCAGATCCCACTTCGTCGCGGGCCCGCCCGCCACCCTGGGCGTTAGGCACAGCGCCGCGCTGGCCCAGATCCTGCCACGGCCACGTCGATCCGATTCGATCCGAGTTCGATCCCGTGCCGATGCAGCCCGATCCGACGCACACTTCGATTCGATCCGACTTCCCGATTCGATGCTGACTGACCCTGCCCACCAGGGCGCGCGGCCCGCCCCTCATTCGGAGGAGGGAAAGGTACCGACACCGCTTCCCTTCACTGACGGGCCGGACGAAAGGGCAGGACTCGGGAAAGGGGGGGTTACGGAATCTGCTGCAAGCAGCTGGTTTCCGCCCTGCCGCCAGGCCCATTCTTCGATACATGGGCGGCTCCCGGCGCCAGGAGGCGCCAGGAAAACCAGCTACGTGAGCTAGTTCTCTACCCTGCACTTTGCTATCCTACCCTTTCGTGCCCCCTGGCACTCGTTTTCGCCTCTTGAGTCTCTTGAGAGGCCATTCCCGTCGGCACGGCCTGCGTTCGTCTCGAGATCCTGGTCAGACTGCACCCCTGGAAAGGTCCGCGGAGTATGTCGGAATCCTTGTTTCGCAGGGGCGGCCTTCGAAACTAACAGGCAGGTGCTTTTTCTCAGAAGCCCTCCCGACCCTTCACGCCTTTACGAAGGGTTCTTAGAGGTATCCAGGGCCTTGCCTTCTGAGCTCTAAGAGGCCCCTGAGCTCTGAGAGGCCCCTTGTCTTCTTGGAAACAGCCCCCAGTTCTGCGCCACCCCTGCGTGTGCGCCGCCAGGTGATCGGGTGCTGCTAGAAGTGCCCATGGCCCCGGGTGCCCCCAGGATTTTCAAGGAGGCACCCACGGCCTCCAGAACACCCCTCACGAGGCCCAGAGGGCCCCAGGGGTTCAGCATCGAGCGAACAGCTGGGGGCACCTTGGGCCAGGGGCATCTTCAGCAACCCCCGAGGTGAGGGGCTGGGAGCGTTGGGGTCGCCATGGTCCACGGGGGTCCTGATGAAAGTGGTCCAGAGGTGAGGGGCATCGTCGAGGATTGAGGATTAAGGTTTTGGACCTCTTGGGCTTTGTGGGCCTAGGCCTCCGGAGGCAGAGCGATGCGAAGGGAGAGAGGTCCTGGGCCTCGGGGCCCTCTTGGGGAGGTTTGCGGGGCCCCAGGGGAGTCCAGCTGCGAGGCCCCGAGTGAGTTCCATGGCCCAGGACCCACTTTGACCCACGACGCTGGCGGAGAAGGCGGAGGACGGGAAGGATGAGGGAGCAGGGGGACGGCAAGGGGGGAGAAGGAGTAGTTGGAGAGGAGGAGGAGGAGGAGGAGGAGGAGGAGGAGGAGGAGAAGGAGGAGGAGGAGGAGGAGTCCGGCGGGACTGGCCCCTGGTGCCGTCGGGCTTTCGGTCCATCTTGCCGCGCGCGCCGTGGGGTTGGTGAGCGAGGGGCAGCTCATCGGCCCTCCCGGGATAAAATGCAGGGGGTAGAAGGGAGGTGGAGGGATGGAGAAGGGTGGTCGGTGAGGAGGTGGAAGAGGAGGAAGAGGAGGAGGAGGAGGAGCAGAGGAAAAAGAACAGGAGTATGATGACGAAGGTGTCGGACGATGAGCGTGATTTTCGATCCAGAGTGGTGATTGTCTCTTATACGCGCAATCAACGCAAAGGCCCGGACGAAGCCCAGGCCGCTGAAGAGATGTCTACGAGAACCGCTAGAGCGCAGCTCGCGCAGCAGCTTTAGGAACAAGCGTAAAGCGTAATCTTGACATCCCTTCCGAGGCTACGTGCGAGGAGTGCGATGAAGAAAGGCGGGATGGAGGGTGGAGAAGGGTGTTCTTCAGGGCAGTCTCGGGGGGTGGGCTCTGGGGGTCCTTTGGGCTCATGGGCTTGTTGGCTCCTCAGGGGTGATTCTGGCGCGCTCCTTGCGACGAGGGGGGGGTGGCGGGGGCGGGGGATGGGGAGGAGGAGGAGGAAGAAGAAGAGGAGGGCCTGATTTCAACCTCGGGCTTGATTCGGGTCTGCCTGTATTGAGTTTCCTTTTTGGTGTGGGTGTGCGCGTGAGGAGGAGCAGGAGGGGCAGAAGGAGAAGGAGGAGGAGCAAGGGGAGGAGGAGGAGGAGGAGGAGGAGGAGGAGGAGGAGCAGCAGCAGCAGCAGTGGCAGGAGCGGGCCCTGAGCCTGCCTCCCGCCAGCGCCCGCCCGGACACAGAGGCGGAAACGCGCGCGAGCAGCTCGACGGCGATGATGATGATGATGATGATGATGATGATGATGATGATGATGATGATGATGATGATGATGATGATGATGATGATGATGATGATGGTGGTGGTGGTGGTGGTGGTGGTGATGATGATGATGATGATGATGATGATGATGATGATGATGACGATGATGATGATGATGATGATGATGCTGATGATGACGATGATGATAATCATGATGGTGACGCTGCTGATGATGCTGATGACGGTGATGATACTGATGCTGATGTTGAACATGATGACGACGGTAATGCGTGATGTTGATGTTGATGTTGATGTGAATGATGATGATGTTGATGATGCTGATGATTATGTTGCTGCTGATGCTGATGATTATGATGATGATGACGGTGATGTTGACGTTGATGTTGATGTTAATGGTGATGGTGATTATGGTGTTGGTGCTGATGACGTTGATGCTGGTGCTGATGATGATGTTGATGCTAGTGATGATGATGCTGATGCTGCTGATGATGAAGCTGCTGATTATGATGAGGATGATGACGCAGATGAGGAGGAGGAGGATCATCTGGAGGATGATGCTGCTGATGAGGAGGAGGATGCTGATGATGAGGATGAGGATGAGGATGGTGTTGATGCTGATGATGATGGTGCTGATGCTGATGATAGTGACGATGATGCTGATGCTGCTGATGATGAGGACGATGCTGATGTTGATGCTGATGATGATGTTGATGACTTTGGTGATGATGACGATGATGCTGTTGTTGGTGTTGATGATGATCATGATGATACTGGTGCTGATGCTGACGCTGATGCTGTTGGTGAGGCTGACGACGATGATGCTGATGATGATGCTGATGATGATGTTGATGTTGATGCTAATGATGCTGTTGTTGATGATGATGATGCTGATGATGATGCTGATGATGGTGGTGGTGATGGTGACGATGGTGACGATGATGGTGATGGCGATGACGACGATGGTGGTGGTGATGCTGACGAAGAAGGGGCGGAGGAGGAGGAGGAGGAGGAGGAGGAGGAGAAGGGGGAGGGGGAGAGGGATAGCTGGTGGGTACCTGCTCCCCGACCCCCTCACGGCGGTCCGCGTGCGCCTCGCGCCGCGCACCGCGCTGCACTCGCGCGCGCGCCGCGGCAACACCCACCCTCTCCGCTGCACCGTGCTGCGCTCGCGCTCGCCTGAAGCACGAGCGCGCCCGAAGGCCGACGTGTGCATGCGCATCGACTTCGCCGCGGCGCGGCAATGAGGCCTTCGGCGCGGCGGCGCACGGGGGCTGGCGCCCTGGCGCTGCGCCGCGGCGGCCTCGGCTCCGCGCGTCGCGGCGGTGGTGGGGCCACGCCGCGGCGCGCAGGGCGCTCCTGCTGCTGCTGTCCCTCCCTCCCTTTCTCCTTGCTCTTTGCCCCAGTCTCACAGGGGTTGTCTCAACTGCGTACTCTTCCCTCCCTCCCTCCCCTCGTCCTCTTCCTCCTCCCTCCCCCCTTCCTCTTCACCCCCTCCTCTTCTTCCCTCCCTCCCCCCTTCCTCTTCCCCCCACCCCCAGCCCTCTGCTCCCCTCATCTCAGGAGAACGGTACAGTCGCCCAACGCAGCGCTGCGCCACCACCACCCTACTCCCTGCGAGACTGGGCGCCACGCTTGCTCCACTGCAAAGCTGGCGGTTCGGCTCGATCCGCTTCGCCAGTGCGCGCCCAGTCAGCTTCGGCTGGTCTGGTTCGCATCGTGGACAGGTCCGGTTCTATTCGGCTGGTTTGGTTCTGCCAGTTCGGCTGGTTCGGTTCGCGTCGCGGGCAGTTTCGGCCGGTTCGGGTCGCGGGCCGATTCGGTTCGATTGGTTCGGTTCCAAGCCTGACTCTCGCTTCTCGGTTTGGTTCGCGGCCATCATGCGTATTTTGTTTTTCCCGACCATCCTGTGGTGTTGGGTCCTCGTGTTGAAGAGACAGCGCCCCGCGTTCCTCACTCCGTCCATCCCTCCTCCTCCCCCTCCTTCCCCTCCTCCTTCCTCGCTGCGTTTCACCCACCCAGTACAGCATTTCGTGCTCCATAGGGAGCTCCACCGAAGGCGCCAGTGCCACCGTCGGCACGCGTCCCGAAACATCAAAGTTGGCTTTTTCACCCACCCAGTGAAGCGTTTCATGGCCCCATAGGGAGCTCTACCGAAGGCCCCAGTGCCACCGTCCGCATGCGTCCCGAAACAGCAAGTTCGGCATTTTCACCCACCCAGTACAGCGTGTCGTGGCCCCCATAGGGAGCTCTTCCGAAGGCCCCAGTGCCACTGTCCGCATTCGTCCCGAAACATCCATTTTGGCATGTTCACCCACCCAGTACAGCGTGTCGTGGCCCCGTAGGGAGCTCCACCGAAGCCACCAGTGGGACCGCCCGCATGCGCCCCCCACACACCCAATGTGGCATTTACACCCACCCAGTACAGCGTTTCGTGGCCCCATAGGGAGCTCCACCGACGGCTCCAGTGCTACCGCCCGCATGCGTTCCCCCCGACCCAGTGCAGCGCTTCGTGGCCCCATAGGGAGCTTCACCGAAAAGATATTCACAATTGCCGTACCCACAACTGCGTATGGTTGGGTCCTCGTTTTGAAGAGACGGTGCCCCGCGTTCCTTCCTTCCCGCCCTCCTCCCCCTCCTCCTCCCTCCCCCTTGCGTTTCACCCCCCCAGTACAGTGTTCGTGGCCCCATAGGGAGCTCCACCGAAGGCCCCAGTGGCAGGGTCCGCATGGCGGCCCCGCGTTTTGGCGCACCTCTCACACGGTTCGTGGCCCCATAGGGAGCTCCACCGAAGGCCCCAGTGGCAGGGTTCGCATGGCGGCCCCGCCCCATTTTGGCGCACCCCTCACACGGTTCGAAGCCCCAATAGGGAGCTCCACCGAAGGCCCCCACTGGCAGGGTTCGCATGGCGGCCCCGCCCCTTTTCGGCGCACCCCTCACACGGTTCGTGGCCCCAATAGGGAGCTCCACCGAAGGCGCCAGTGGCAGCGTTCGCATCGCGGCCCCGCCTCATTGTGGCGCACCCCTCACCACGGTTCGTGGCCCCATAGGGAGCTCCACCGAAGGCGACAGTGGCAGGGTTCGCATGGCGGCCCCGCGCCACTTCGGCGCACCCCTCACGCGGTTCGTTGCCCCATAGGGAGTTCCACCGAATGCCCTGGTGGCAGGGTTCGCATGGCGGCCCCGCCCCATTTTGGCTCACCCCTCACGCGGTTCGTGGCCCCATAGGGAGCTCCACCGAAGGCGCCAGTGGTTGGGTTCGCATGGCGGCCCCGCCTCATTGTGGCGCACCCCTCACACGGTTCGTGGCCCCAGGGAGCTCCACCGAAGGCGCCAGTGGCAGCGTTCGGCCCCGCGCTGTTTTGGCGCACCCCTCACACGGTTCGTGGCCCCATTGGGAATTCCCCTTGCTTCGTCCCACTTGCGTTGCGGTTCTCACACTTGCGTGTGGTTGGGTCCTTCGTCCGGGTAATTGTTTCGTTTCTCAACCACTCTTTCGGTCTCTTTGTCTGTCTGTCTCTCCCTCTCCCTCTCTCTAAGCCTCCCTATGTCTTGCTTTCTCTCTCGCCCTGTCTCTCTCTCTCTCTATCTTGCTTCCTTGTTCCCATTTCGGGTTTGGATGTCCTGTTCTGCTTATCTTAGCACTCATGGCTGATATCACATGGGGACGTGTACGAATTATTCCATGCCGACGTTGAGCGGGTGAGCTTTGTTCACTCCACCACTTTTTGATGACGCTATCCTTCTCTTCTCACACATTCAGCGTACAAGTTTGAAGGAGGGCGGTGGTTTAGACGGTTCGCCCCCTTTTCAGAATTGGATGTTGGCTTTGGATTCTCCCGCAGGGTACGATTTCAGAGCTCTTGTGGCAAAGCAGGTGCACGTATAGAAGGCGCTTCTGCTGAATATTCGATCTCGTATGTGGACCTCCTTACATGCGTTTTTAGGAGACACTGGGGTACGCAGATCCAACAGCCGTTTTGTTGTTGAGATCTTGTTTTTGGATACTTCTTTTCTTTACGTGTAAGGATCCTCAATCTTACAAGGTCCAGCAGATACACTGGTGGAGGGTGGGTCCTTTTCATGATCGAGCCCTCGCCCAGGATCACCCATTACGCTCCGTGATCGTGATGCATGAAGCTCATGGTTTTTCTGACAGCAGCTGGACTGTAGGCTGGCTGTTTTCCAACCGAGCGCTTTCGCTCCAGCGCTAGGCACGTTCCTTTCAGATCGTCGTCCATGCTTCTGCGTGCAGGGCGATCCCATCTCCCCCAACCGTGCTTGCACCTGGGGGCTCTGATCTGTTTGTGCAGTCACCTGCGTGGGCTTCTGGGTTCTGGGCCAAGGTCGCCGCCTGCGCTTCGTGCGCTCCCCGCGCGCTGGCATGGACCTCCGGGCTCTGGCCGAGGCCGTCGCCCGTGGGCGTTCCGTGGGCGCCCCGTGCGCCCGCTGGCGCCCGCGGGCTCGCGCCGCTCGGTCGTCGCCGGTCGCCGCTCGGTGGGCGCCCCGTGGGCGCCCCCCCGCGCGCTGGGCGGGGGGCGCCCGGGGTTCATGCCGAGGTCGCCGCCCGTGGACGCTCTCGTGGGTTGCTGCGCGCGCCCGGGGCGCTCCTGCGCGAGCGGGGTCGCGGGCTGGAGGGGAGGCCGAGCCGACTCGGGGCCTCCCTGCCCCTTTTTCTTGTGACTTTGTCTCTCTTTAATTGTCTGCTGTTGCATCATGTATAGCAGGTATAAGAGTGCCAGTTGAGTTGAGGACGGCGCACCGCCATTCCCATCGTCCGACGACGACGACCCTCTGCCTCTGATGCCCTTGCCCGCCCTCGGAGGCTTCTTCTTCTTTTTCCCTCCTCTGCCCCCTATGGTCCTCTTCTGCTTTCTCGTCGGCCACGCCTGGCCCCCCCGTGTTCCTCATCCTGGATCCGGGGCGCTCCCTGGCGCCAGCCCATTCGACAGTTTCTGTTCTCTGTAGCTCTGTGCCTTCTCCCCGAATTGTGCTTGCACTTGCGGGTTCTTGCTTGGCTTTCTGAAGACATGTGATTGGTACGTTGGGTTGTCGCCATGTTGCCGCCCATGTGATCGTGGGCGGCACGCGCTTGAAGAGCATGTTGGGTTTTCGCCACGCTGCCGCCCGTGCCGCCTCGTGGGCGCCCCGCGTCTTGAGTTTACACGAAATAGCTTCCACCACATAGCTTGCACCACGCAGTTTAAACCGCCTAGCTTACACAGCATAGCTTGCATCACATAGCTTAAGCCCCATCGCTCTTACCTCTTGTGCACGTGGCATAGCCCACGCAACATAGCTTACACGACATAGCCTTCACCACATCGTTTGCACCGCATAGCTGTCACATCCATTTGCAATCACGCACGATTTGAGGTCCGCCCCGGCTGACACTGGTTGTTGCTAAGTCCGCTACGGCATCGGGTACCAAAGTGACAGAGCGACCCCGTGGTGCCTGGATCACATAAGCGGGACCCAAGTTTGACGTTGACGCCCTCCCTCGTCAGGCGGGTCCGGGCTTCGGACCCCCCCCCTGGGGTTCGGGGTTTTGTTCCCCCCCCCCCCGCTCCCCCGCTTTTGAAGCCGGGGGACCCCTTTCCAAAAGTAATGGTTCCCGAAGCTCCCCCCTCTCGGTTCTCCTTTGTAAAAAGAGGGGTTCCGGAAGCTGCTTCCCCCCTCCCCCCCCGTTAGTGAAACCAGGATCCTGGGGTGGTTTCGGGTACATTTGCACGCTTGTCTTCGGTACATGATACAAGCTTCACGTTATACTTCGTCCTTTATCGAAATCGTTCGATTGCCATCCACCTCCTGTACCACACTTTTGGGGACAGGCGGCGCGAGTCTGGGCTGGTTGGCTTGGGACTCAGCCACCCATTGACAAGGATCCCATCAGCTCGCTGCCGCAGCGGCGTGACAGTCTCGTGGGGACCTTTTCCTCTGCTTCTGCTCCTCCTCCCTGGCCTCCCCTCCCTCTGACACCCTGACCTTTGTGTTGGCACATTCTGAGATGGAGGGCAAAGACTATCCTCCCCCACAGTGTAGCTAGGATACTTAGCAAGGATCTCACGCTTGATCCCTGCGGTTGAGTAGTTAGTTCGGAAGCTTGGCGCACGCGTGCAGGGTTCGCACCGCTCAGTGCACCATTGGTCTATGACAGTGGGCCATCCAGTCTGTAAATGCGGCGGCGCGCCGAGAGGGGAAGTGAGAGGGGGCAGGCCTTCTCAGAAGGTGGCGGCCTTCTCAGAAGCATCCTAGCCTTCCTTGAGTCCCTGGCGTGACATTTTAACGATAAGCTTCTTTTTGTTTCCCAATCATCCTGGTGTTGGGTCCTCGTTTTGCAGAGACGGTGCCCCGCGTTCCTTCCTTCCCGCCCTCCTCCCCCTCCTCCCATCACCATCATCATCATCCTCATCATCATCATCATCATCATCAGCAGCAGCAGCAGCATCATCATCATCGTCATCATCGACGTCATCATCACCACCATCAGCATCATCGTCATCATCACCACCCATTTCGGCACACCCATCACACGCTTCGTGGCCCCATAGGGAGCTCCACCGAAGGCCCCAGTGGCAGGGTTCGCATGGCGGCCCCGCCCCATTTCGGCACACCCCTCACGAGGATCGTGGCCCCATAGGGAGCTCCACCGAAGGCGCCAGTGGCAGGGTTCGCATGTCCCATTTTGGCACACCCCTCACGAGGATCGTGGCCCCATAGGAAGCTTTACCGAGGGCGGCAGTGGCAGGGTTCGCATGGCGGCCCCGCCCCATTTCGGCGCACCCCTCACGAGGATCGTGGCCCCATAGAGAACTCCACCGAAGGCGCCAGTGGCAGGGTTCGCATGGCGGCCCCGCTCCATTTCGGCGACCCCCTTAAGAGGATCGTGGCCCTGTGGGGTGGAGCTTCACCGAGGTCGTCAGTGGCAGGGTTCGCATGGCGGCCCTGCCCCATTTCCGGCGCACTCCTCACAAGGATCGTGGCCCCACAGGGAGCTCCACCGAAGGCCCCAGTGTCAGGGTTCGCATGGCGGCCCCGCCCCATTTCGGCGCACCCATCACGAGGATCGTGGCCCCACAGGGAGCTCCACCGAAGCTCCCCCAGTGGCAGGGTTCGCATGGCGGCCCCGCCCCATTTCGGCACACCCCTCACGAGGATCGTGGCCCCATAGGGAGCTCCACCGAAGACGCCAGTGGCAGGGTTCGCATGAAGGCCCCGTCCCATTTCGGCACACCCCTCGCGAGGAACGTGGCCCCATAGGGAGCTCCACCGTAGGCGCCAGTGGCAGGGTTCGCATGGCGACCCCGTCCCATTTTCGGCGCACCCCTCACGAGGATTGTGGTCCCACAGGGAGTTCCACCGAAGGCCCCAGTGGCAGGGTTCGCATAGCGGCCCCGCCCCACTTCGGCGACCCCCTCAAGAGGATCGTGGCTGTGGGGAGCTTCACCGAGGTCGTCAGTGGCAGGGTTCGCGTGGCGGCCCCGCCTCATTTTGGCGCACCCCTCACGAGAATCGTGGCCCCATAGGGAGCTCCACCGAGGGCCCCAGTGTCAGGGTTCGCATGGCGGCCCCGCCCCATTTTCGGCGCACCCATCACGAGGATCGTGGCCCCATAGGGAGCTCCACCGAAGGCGCCAGTGGCAGGGTTCGCATGGCGGCCCCGCCCATGATATTCACAACCACGGTATTCACAACTGCATATGGTTGGGTCCTTCGCTAGGCTAATTCGGGCCTGGGAGCCCTCACGGATCGATCTGGGGCGAATAATGGCGCTGAAAGACGTGTCTTTTCATTGTGTTCATGTTCCAACCATTTTGTGGTGTTGGGTTCTCGTTTTGAAGAGACAGCGCCCCGCGTTCCTCACCTCTCCTCTCCTCTCCTCTTCCCCCCCTCCCTTTTGGCACACCCCTTACACGTTTCGCGGCCCCGTAGGGAGCCCCACCTAAGGTCCCGGTGACGCAGTCCGCATGGCGGCGCCGCCACACCCACATACGTTTCGTGGCCCCATAGGGAGCTCCACCTAAGGTCCCAGTGGTGCAGTCCGCATGGCGGCGCCGCCCCATTTCGGCACACCCCTCACACGTTCCGTGGCCCCACCTCATGTCCCAGTGGCGCAGTCCGCATGGCGGCGCCGCCCCATTTTGGAACACCCCTCACACGTTTCGTGGCCCCATAGGGAGCTCCACCTAAGGTCCCAGTGGCGCAGGCCGCATGCCGGCGCCACCTGATTTTGGCCCACTCTTTTCACGCTTCGGGGCCCCATAGAAAGCTCCATCTAAGGTCCTGCTCATCGTCATTATCATCGCCATCATCGCCGCTCGCCCCTCACACGTTTCGTGACCCCATAGGGAACTCCACCTCGGGTCCCAGTGGCGCAGTCCGCATGGCGGCACCGCCCCATTTTGGCACACCCCTCACAGGTTCCGAGTGGCCCCATAGGGAGCTCCACCTAAGGTCATGCGCACTGTTATCATCATCGCCATCATCGCCGCTCGCCCCTCGCACGTTTCGTGGCCCCATAGGGAGCTTCACCGAAGGCCCCAGTGGCAGTGCACGCATGGCGTCCCCGCCCCATTTCGGCACATCCCTCACACGTTTTGTGGCTCCATAAAGGGGCTCTACATCAGGCCCCAGTAGCAGCGCCTGCGTTGCGGCCCAGCCCCATTTCGGCATACTGTTCACGCTTTTCGTGGCCCCATAAAGACGACGGCATTCACAACTGCATATGGTTTGGTCCTTCGCCAGGTTATTTTTGTTCCGCGGTATCGGATCTCAGGGTTCCGAGAAGCCATTTGTGTTTTCGGAGAAAGTTACAAAGTTTCTCCGAAGGCCGGATGCTTTCTGAGCCTTTTGAGAACGCCCGCCCTGTCTTCTTTCCCTTGGGCGCGCCGCCGACAAATGCCTAGGAACCGACTGGAAGGCCCGGCGGATCGGTGAAGACATTTGCCATCCCCGCCTCTCGTTCGCACGGACTTGTGCCGCGAAGTCGTTGGTCTTTTAGCAGAGGAACCGTCGGCGAAGCCGGTACGACCTCCAGCACAAAACTCCGTTCCTGGCAGTTTCCAGCGTAGACAGGCATTTTTTCAGCCATTTCCGCCGCGCGGGCTTTCCAATGTAGTCAGCCGTCTCATCCCAGCTTCTCTGTTTGCATTGCGCTGCTCGGAGAAGAAAGTGCTGTTCTCACGACCTTGCACTCCTGCCTGAGGTGGTCTGTCACATGCGGCGTCGCATCGCTTGACGCAGGCGTGCGCGTGCCAGTCTTCAAGCATTTATGCGAGCGTTTCGTCTGCCGCCATCTCGCCCCAGGGTGCAGACCTCGTCCGGCTCCACATCCTGGAACGTCCCTCGGACTACGGTCGGACCGAGGTATGAGATCGAGGTCGGTTCAGGGATGGTACCGTAATGTTTTTCGTGCTCGTCGTATGGTCTTGCACATCCTGGGGGAAGGGCATCCTCGAATGTTTTTCCCCTTGGCCAGCAGATGGTCTCATGTTCTTGAAGGATGTGATTATGTCCTGGGTCCGGCCGTACTGTGACCATGCCTCTGCCAATCGCCCCCTGTGGCTTCTCTGCGCCTCTCGAGCTCCAGGGGTACAGTAGGCACATCATATGAACAATCGGCCTGTCAGCAGGTGCCCCGTGGAAAGTTCCGATCCCCCGGTGCCCCACCACGGCTCGTTTCGATTCCTCTGATTCGATTCGATTCGATTTCAATGGCATCCGATTCCGATTCGATGCGGCTTCGAATTCCGATGTGCATTCCGATTTCTCAATGGCGGCCTTCGATTCATTTCGGTCGCCGATCCGATTTATCCTTTCGATTCTGGGCTCTCCTGCCCACAGATCGACGAACAACGTGCCCCCAATCAGAGTGAGGGGGCCGAACGGTCATTCATTGTCCCTGAATGCGTGGTTGAATAAGGAATTCGTGGTGAGATTCTGCTTGTTGCGTTGTTGTCGTTGTTGCTGTTGTTGCTGTTGTTGTTTGTTGTCGTCGTCCCACCCGCGACCCACCCCGCGACCCACCCCGCGACCCACATCGCGTTTGACCCGCGACCCAATCCGCGACCCACCCGCGACCCACCCCGCGACCACCCGCGACCCACCCGCGACCCACCCCGCGACCCACCCCGCGACCCATCCGCGACCCATCCGCGACCCACCCGCGACCCACCCCGCGTTTTTCCCGCGACCCACCCCGCGACCCACCCTCCAGGGAGGAAAAACCATCCAGACCCGACAATTGACGTTTACTAAACGGCCTTGGGCGTTTACTAAACAGCCCTGTCCTGTTCGATTCATTCCTTGTGTACATTTACTAAATGGCTTCGCTTGTCGGGGTGACTGTTATGGGGTGGATTGTCTGCCCTCTACACCCGCGACCCAACAGCGACCCAACAGCGACCCACCCGCGACCCACCCGCGACCCATTTGCGACCCACCCGTGACCTACCCACATTGGTTTACCAAAAAAGCGACGCCTGCGGCGGGCTCGTTGCAGGATTTGCGAACTTTGGTGCTTGCGGCGGGCTTCTCCAGAGTTTCGCAGACTGCCGACGTCGCTACCGCCTCATCACTCTTGTCCGCATCTGCGGGTATTTGTTCTATGCCAAGATATCTTGTCGTATACGTGTCAGCTGTTTCCAGAAGGCTCCAGAAGGGACCGCGGAAGCCTTCCTGGGAGCCGCATCCCGACTGCTGATCTTCAGACCCGCCTCCCAGCCACGGCTGGGGAAAGGCTATTTAGACGGAGGCTGCTTCTCAGAAGGCTCGGGCCTGATCTGGAGATGTGGGGCCGGCTCCTTCTCAGGAGCAGCCTCCCTCCGAGAAGCCATCCCCGCTCCCCCTTCCCCCTCGTGCGCGCCGCCAAGCCTCCCTGTTGCAGCCTGAGGGTGCTCCGGGTCGGCGTCGAGGGGCGCAGGGCTCCCACGCCAGAGGGCCCAGCGCCGAGAGCCGAGAGGGTCTCCAAGCGACAGGATGCCTCTGGCTGCCCCTGGAGGCTCCCGAAGGCCACGGGGGGGGGCCCGAGGTGGCCCTGGCCCGAGGTGCCCTTGGCTCCCCGCGCCGTTTCGGAGCCCCCCGTGGGCCCTCGGCCTCGCGACGGCCTGCGCCGCCGAGTCGCACTGGATATGGATAACAATCGAGCCTTTATGGGCCAGATGTTTATCCATATCCAGTGCGCCTCCAGTTTCTGAGGAAGGGAGCCCGAAACTCCAAGACTCACTGGATGTGGATATAACTGTTGCCCGCAATGCGGTCCCGCCACCCATGTCGGCACACCCCTCACACGCTTCGTGGTTGCATAGGGAGCTCCACCAGAGGCCCCGGTGCCGCGACCAGAAGGTGCGTTAAGACAGACAAGGGGGGGCCGGGCTGGCCTCCTCCGTAAAGGAGGTATTCGCTCTCTCTGGCCCTCCTGAGTGCTCAAGGACGAGGGGTAGCGCTAATTTTGCAAGGCTAATGTGCGTGACGCGCAGGCGGTAATCATATTTTGAAAACCACCCGCCCTCCTGCTGTGAAACTCTTGCGAACTGTTAAGACGAATTTGCGGGGAGTTTTAACGCGAGAGCCAAAGCTTGAGAACTACCCGCCCTCCATCCGTGGAATTGCTGTAAATTCTCAAGCTTCAGGATTCTACAAGGTAAGGAAGTCCCGGGCGAAACGGCCAGCCCGTCCTGCCGACTCTTCCCGGGGTGCGAAAGGGAGGACTTGTTTGTACGAAGAGGGGTGGAGGAGGAGGAGGAGGAGGAGGACCAGAACGAGGACGAGGAGGGAGGGAGGAGGGAGTAGGTCGGTCGGACGCGCCATTACACCAGTCTGTCTGCCGATCACCGCATGACACTTATTTCCCGAGGGCCAAGGTGAGGTAAGAACGCGGTGCGCGACCCTGTCTGCCCGCCCTCTCGAAGCGATGGGAGGCACTCAGCAGTGATACACCAGGCTTCCCAAAACACGCAAACGACAGGGCGGGCGGAGTGGTGGCAGCCATGACAAGGAGAAATCACAATGCAAGCATCAGAGTCTGCGAAACACGAGGGAGGAGGGAGGATGGAGAAGAAAGAGAGAGGAGGGAGGAGGGAGGAGGAAGAGGAGGAGGAGGAGCAGGAGGAGGAGGAGGGGGAAGAGGAGGAGGAGGAGGAGATGATAGAGGAGGAGGAGGACTTGAAGTGATATGGCTTTGGGGCTCCTTGACCCTGTTGGTGGGCCCAGCTATCTGGTATCGTGCTGCCGCGCCTGGAACGGCTGTGGCCGACGTTTCCCCCTCCTGGGCCACCTAAGCAGGCCAGATGGAGAGCCGCGCCTGCAACGGCTGTGTGACCGATTCGGGACCACCTAAGCAGGTCAGGGGGGGGAAGGGAAATTTGTTCCTGGGGGGCACGATTTGTCCGCCCAGGCGGCCCATGGGGCTGAAGCCCCAGTCTTTCGACTCACGGAATACCGCTACTTGCATTCGCGCGTTTCATTCCATCGCCCAGTATATGACAGCGATATGATGATGGATGCTCGTATGTTGTTTCCATGAGAAAGACCATGCGTCAGTACACAGCTGAGATAGGCAAACAGTTTCCAAGGCAAATTACAGAGCCTACTTTGCGTTCGGGTGCTGCCTTCGAGTGAAACGGTCCCAAGAGTGCTTCGCTCCGTTGGACGGCAAGCGTGTGAGGCATTATTTGCCTAGCCTCTTGCGCGCCCCCGTTCCCGAATACGCGCCACAGATATTGCACATGAAAACGGCTCCCAACGAATAGCTGGAGATGTGCAGAGTGTGTTTGCGGGAAATGGGCACGATATCGCTGAAGGCGGCATTGTAGCCGCGGCATGGAGATACTGTCGCCGACGGCTTGCGTTCTCCTCTCACAAATCGGAAGCAACGCTGGCATGACCAACGTGAGCGTTTCCATGCCCATTCGTGACCTCTCACCGGGGCAGCTGTAGTTGTTGCCACCTCCGCTGGCGGCGGCGGCGGTGGAGGACGGGGGGCGGGTGCCGGAAGTGAAGGTATACAGTCGAATCTGTCTTGCGGCACCGGTGAGTGTGATGAATCGTGGCTGGCGCAAGCCATATTGTCCAAAGTGGACTTCGGCGCTCGTGTTGGCGCCAGCCAGGGAGAAAAACAGCAACAGGGTTGCACCACATATTTCAAATATCGCCGCAGCGATGCAGATTTCTCCTTACAGGAAACGATCTCTGCTTGCGACGGCTGCGCTCATGTGGGCGCCCCGTTTTTGCGAAAGTGCGCCAGTGGATCTCCCTGAATACACTAAAGGGGGGGGGGGTCCAGAACCCCCCCCCCCCTCCCCCCCTTGGCGCTGGGAAGGGGAGGGGGGGTTCGGACCCCCCCCCCCCCCCCCCTCTCCCCCCATTTGCGCCGGAAAGGGAGCCGGGGGGGGGGGCCTCTCTCGCTTCTCCTTTCTGCGCCGGAGAAGGTGTGTAGGGAGTATGGAGTTAGGAGTAGAGAGTGGTGAGTAGTGAGTAGTGGGTTAGTGAGTAGTGAGTATCGGGTAGTGAGTAGTGGGTAGTGAGTGGCAAGTAGGGGGTAGGGAGTAGGGAGTGGGGACTAGTGAGAAGTGAATAGTGAGTATTGTGTACTGATAAGTGGGTAGTGAGTGGCGAGTAGTGAGTAGTGAGTAGTGAGTAGCGAGGAGCGAGTAGTGAGTACTGAGTAGGGAGTAGGGAGTAATGAGTAGTGGGTACGGAATAGTGGGTAGTGAGCAGTGGGTGGCGAGTAGTGATTAGTGAGTAGTGAGTAGTGGGTAGTGCGTAGTGCGTAGTGAGTAGTGAGTAGTGAGTAGTGAGTAGTAAGTAGTGAGTAGTGAGTAGTGAATAGTGAGTAGCGAGTAGTGACAATTGAGTAGTGAGTAGTGAGTAGTGGGTACTGAGTAGTACGTAGTGCGTAATGAGTACGGAGTAGTGAGTAGTGATTAATAGAGAGTAGTGGGTCGTGGCAGTGGGTAGTGAGTAGTGAGTAGCGAGTAGGGAGTAGCGAGTAGTGAGCAGTGAGGAGCGAGTTGGGCGTAGTGAGCAGTGAGTAGCGAGTATAGAGTAGTCAGTAGTGAGTAGTGTGTAGTGATTCGTGGGTAACGACTAGGGAGTAGCGAGTAGTGGGTAGTGAGTCGTGAGTAGGGAGTACGGAGTAGGGAGTAGGGAGTAGTGAGCAGTCAGTAGTAAGAAGTGGGTAACGAATAGTGGGTAGTGAGCAGCGATGAGTGA